ATAAGTAGCATAATATTGGCCCACATTATGGGGGAGGAAGGAAAGGGCAGGTCATTCTTAAAATAACATTGTTTTAGAATTACAAGTCAAGAGATTTTCAAATGGCTGAGTAGGAAAGGAAGAGGCAAATTCTTTAATTCATCCTCTTTTATGTTCTAAGTCTCAGGGACTAGAGCCTCATTTGCTTCCCTGGGGTTCCCTTGGGAGAGAGAAAGGGCACAGTTTTAAACCAAATATAGTAAATCAGAATGAATTAAAATTCCAACTCTAGATTCCACACAGCTCTTATTTTGCTATTTTCTTGTGATTATTTCACCCAACAGTCTTCAAGAATGAGTTTTTCCAAACTTGTTGGAATATTCAAATCAATTATGTTCATCAGGTCAGCCTCTTTATTCACTTCTCCAAGACTAAAAATTTATAGAGATGCGACTCTCCATTACATAACCCATGCTGGTCTGACCCTACCAAGCTATGCCTATCCAAGTGCTGTGCTATTCTCTGCTTAATTAAGCCATTTATCAGTTTCTTCAGAGCAGAGGTTTGGCTCACAGGCCCTTAATTCTAAAAATCCATCTTACTTAAGAAAGATACTACATTAGGAACTTTCTACGCTCCAGACATGGCTGCTGCTTTACAGTTTTGGGACCTGATCCAACTTCTGCTGAAGTCAGCAGACTCCAGAAGTCAAGCTTGCCTGGACTCATGGTACGTCTTCATCCACATTTTCATGATTTACTGCATCATTGCCTTAAAAGCATTCTCACCAGGACAACTCAGGCTAGTAAAGATCTCCACTTCTACATTTCTTGAATTACTTAGGGCAGGATTCAGCTGTCTAAGCACAAGCATCTCATACCACTTCATATATACCCTGGGATACACTGCCTAGCCTTCAGCTGCCACTATGGAATAACACCAGTCTCTCATGTGTACTATGTCACATTTGTTTGTCCTGCAGAGATGTCGTAGGTCACCTGAAATGGCACTACATGTCTATGTTTAGGCAACTGAATCCCATCTTTGATGACTTGCAGACCAATGTGTTCCATATTGGGCAAAACAGGCTTAAATTTCCCACTAAGGAACATCTTAAAAATATAACTTCCTGTTATTTTTTTTAGACTGATTTATACAATTGATTAGTATGCAGTGGTATCTTTTCTTTACCTTTCCTGTTATTTTGTTATTCTCTTTCTTTACTCCATTCTTTCTTTGCAATAATTCTTACTTAGGATTGGGCAAAACTAAACAAGTTACTTCATACCTATATCTTCATATCATCTTTCTGCTCTTTTTTCTTCTCGTGTGCCTCCTTTCTGGTACTGCATTCTCAGATAAGTTTCTGGGAATTCTGGAGGTAATGGACTGTTCAATACCCATTCATTTGCACTGCAGCTGGAGTGACTCCCTTTTTTTATTGCTTTGAAAACTCTAGTTAACTCCTTGCTGCATGGCAACACTTCTTAATTTGAAAAAATTCTTTAGTCAACAAAAGGAAATGTTACTGTGTCTATGCCTGTGCTTATGTGAAGTAGATTTAAACCTAAGAGGTACACAAGCCATATATTCTTCCAACATGTATGTTAATTCCTAAATAGCCTCTAGGTTAACTGTCTAGATTTTTAGGGTATTTTTTTCCTTTATACTTCAGCTGCTCTTGACAAATTTTGTAGCTTTTAAATACTCCCTTTTCCAGCTCATTGTTATTTTGATACCCCTCTATTAGGAGATCAAATTTAACTTTGCGCTGATCACTTAAGCTTTCAAAATGAGTTATGTTAGAATCCATTTGTCTTTGTAGAAAATGGTAATAGATAATGAATATAAGCATTTTATTCTCGCTTCCCTCACATAACCTACAACATGTATATGCCAGCCTGCAGACTGTGATCTCTAACAAGCCCCCTGAGTAGCTGGTTGATTAGCATGCGTAGCCAATGGCCCTTTCTTGGGACGTGCCTTGCTGATTCTTTGCAAATCACGCCTTTTATAAATGTCTCACCTAAAATCTTTAGCTGCTTTTAAAAGCTGTGATCAATATTCTCTTCTCATTTAGTCAATACTGGGTTAGGTAAAAATAAATACAGAACCCCTCCCATTCCAAAATTACCTCAAGATCTCTCCTGTGGAAAAACCAATAGATTTTACCAAGATTCATGCACAACCCTCCACAACTACGGCAGAAACAGAATTTTTCTTAGGTAAAAAAAAGATTAATTTAGCAGATTCATGCCGGTTTTAGTTCCTAATGAGAAAACACAAAGCTTTTTGTGTTCAGTAAAGAAGGAGCATGTTTTCTGTGGGTGAGTGCACTGTGATCATGATTCAGCTTGTTGATACAGTGGCTCACAAGTTGTAGCCACTTTCATACAGTGGGTAGGGCACGCTTGTAGCCAATTAAACGCACATCACTTGGGTATAAAGCGTATTGCCATTTTGACAAGCTCCTGCAATGCTGGCCGCTTGGTGCTATTGTTTTAGTTCTCTCAGAGAACAATAATGACTACAAGCAATAATGTAACAGTAGTATCTTGGGGAAAATTTAAACAAAGGATAAATGGATGGAAAAAAATAACATTAAATGCTTTACAGAAAAAAATATACATTTCATTATAATCATGCACCCATAGTCAGTAGCATCTGAACCATCATATTTTTAAGTCTTTAAACATAGCACAAAAGGGCAATTTAGTAAAATGCTTTTCAGCTAAAGCAAATACTTTATACAACTATCTGGGACAAATTTTCAAAAGTGGACCACTAAATTTGTACTCTCAGACTCTGAGACAAGCGATCATTTATCTAGCAGAAAAACACATAAAATAATTAAGCAGTTAACTACCCCATTTGCATACAGACGACAAATTGTGGGCAGTTTCAGCCTCTCTTTTAAGATACTGCCTTTAACTCTAATGGCTTTTAATTTTAACTTGTGTTATCTGTGTTTTCACAGCCACATACATGGGAAGTGTTATTGAT